CTCAGCAAGGAGAACAACACTAAGGGAGTGATATGAGACGGCTAGGTACATGTAGAGAACCTCCTGGGGCAGGGGTCTCACTAGCCTTGGCAAAGAGTGCAGATGTTGTTTTAGTCTCTGAAATGCCGCCTCAGCCTCTTCACCCCATTCGAATCTTGACCTCTTCCTGATTGCTTGTAAGAAATAGAGGCATTTGTCGCCTGACCGGCAGAGGAACCTCCCCAATGCCTCTACAATGTTGTTTTAGCCTCTATGCCTCTTTGATCAATTAGAAATCCGAGAAACTTCCCAGACTCAACACCAAAGACACACTTCTTGGGGTTAAGCATGACCTTGTGCCGCCTGAGGGTGGTGAAGGTTTCTCAGTGGTTAGCCAGGTGATCCGTCTGTAGCTTGGATTTGACTATCATGTCATCAATATACGCCTTTACAATCCTTCTAATTTGATTGAGAAAAACTGTGTTAATCATTCGTTGGAATGTAGCAGCCGCATTCTTCAACCCAAACGGCATCACCGTGTAACTATATAACCCCTGATCAGTGACAATTGTTGTCTTTTCTTGATCTTTTTTCCACAGGGGTATCTGATGGAAACCTGAGTAGGCGTCCATGAAACTCATCAGAGCATGACCGGCTGTAGAGTCGACTAGGCTGTCGATCTTTGGAAGCGAATAACTATCCTTCGGGCATGCCCTGTTCAGATCTGTGTAGTCTACACACATCTTCCAGGTGCCATTCGGCTTTTTCACAAGGACAACGTTTGCTACCCAATCCGGGTAGTAGCATTGCCGGATGAACCCAGCATCTAGCAACTTTTTCACCTCGGCGGCTGCCGCCTAAGATCTTTCCTCTCCGTGATTCCTCTTCTTTTGCCTAACCGACTTCTTTTTGGGATCAACGGCGAGTTTGTGGACAGCAAGGTCCGGGCTGACGCCTGACATCTCTTCCACTTCAAAGGCAAAAATGTCTTTGAACTCCCTTAGCAGTTGGAGCAAGTTTGCCCCCAATGTCTAGGACAACATCAACGCTCTCACCAGCTGGCTGGGTTCGGAGGTCATCCGACCGTTCACTGGTCAGTGATTGCTATTGTTTTTCTTTTTTGACGGGTGCCAGTTGGTCCGCCTTTCTCTTTTTACCGGCTGCCCTTGGAGCCGGCACTGCATGATCGCAGTTATCCAGTTCTATGGGTCCTTCGCCATGACCGGCTGAAGTCATAGTTGGTTTGACGTTTGAGAGGTAACACTCTCTAGCCGTCTTTTGGTCCCCATTCAGGGCACCGACTGCCCCATCATCCTTCTGAAACTTGATCAGCATGAGAGACGGGATGATGACAGCCTTGGACTCGTTGAGGGTGAGGCGACCAAAAATCATATTGTAGGCGGTCAACTCCTCAACAACAAGGAACTTGACGACCATGTGCCGCCCTTGCCCCTTTTCTCCCAGCCGGATGGGTAGGTCAATCCTACCCACCGGATGCACCACCCCTCCCCCAAAACCGACTAAGGGGTGAGGAGCCTCATGCATGTTGCTGGGCTTGTACTTGAGCTTTGTCAAGCACTGATAGCTTATCAGGTAAGACGAGCTCTCGGTATCAATTAAGATTCGGCCAACTCGTTGGTTGACAACCTTGCATTCGATGACGATTGGGGTCATCGTGAGGCCGCCTGACCTGGCCTCGGTCCCTTTCAGAAATGAGGACCTCAGGAAAGGTGTCTTTTGACGCCTGGCCCTCATATACTAAGTTGACCAGCTTCCTGATATTGTCCTTGGTACCCCTGATGGTAGGACCTCCACCCGCAAAACTGCCTGCTATAGTGAAGACTGTTTCAGAGTTAGCAGCCGTTGGTTTGGATGAGTGTGCCTTGTTTGTCTTGGGGGCACCCTTGGACTTGGGTAAGTAGGAATTCAGAGCCCTCTCCTCAAACAGACGGTCCAACAGCCGCCTGAGGCTATAGCAACCGTTGGTGTCATGGCCAACATCCTCATGGAATTGTCATATTTGCTCTTGTCCTGGCTGCTAACGGGGCTTTTCATTGCTGCCGGTTTTTCAAGAGTCAACCGGTCTTTGATCCCCATGAGGATGGAGGAGCAGTCCTTGGTGAACTCGTACTTGGGACGTACGTTTCTGACTTTCTTCTGCTCTTCTGGGCCGGCTGACTAGATCGCCGCCTAGACTTCTTTTCTTTTCTTTTCTTCTTTCCTTGCCGGTTGGGATGGCCGACTCTCTCTTCGTTCAAACTTTTTGGGGTCCGACGGGTGCCTCACGGCACAAAGCTCCGTGGCTTGTATATAGGCTTCAGCTTCCATCAATGCCTCTTGGAGGGTGGCAACCCTCTTTTTGACCAGGTCGAACTTGAAGGTCGACCCGTCTTTCAGACCCTTGAAGAAGTCTGTGTAGGCAACGTCAATAGACAGCCCTTGAATATGAATTCTCATCAGATTGAACCGCTTGACATAAGACCTAAGTCCTTCCTTCTCTCCCTGCTGTATGGCCCCAAGATCGAGGCTCGTTTTCTTGGCAGGGATGTTCATTGAGAAGTTCGACGTAAACAAGTACGCCAAAGTTCTGAAGTTGTTGATGCATCCGGCTGGTAGGTTGCCAAACCATCGTTGGGCTATGCCCTTCAATGTAGCCGGGAAGCACCAACACCAGGCGGCATCATCCAACCCCTGTAAGTACATGAGGTTGGAATAGGCCATTAGGTGATCTTCTGGGTTGGCGGTACCGTCATAGGCACCTACCAACACGTTTTTCACCTTAGCCGGCTGTGCCGCCTTGGTACTTTCCCTGGAGAATGCCGTTGCCTGTTCCCCAAGGTTAAGAAGCTGGAGCTGCCAGTCCATAGGCTGAACCGGTTGTGCCGCCTGACCCCCGAAGAGGGCCGGCTGCATGTATGGAGATCCATACGGCATGTACGATGACCCGTATTGTACCGGCTGGATAATTTTGGGACCAAAACGCGCGGACGGACCGAACGACTGACTCCCTTTGTCTGATTTTGAATGCTTTATGGAAGAATTTCGGAAGCTGTCTGGGTAGGTCGACGTTGAAGCCGACGCGGACAGCTGTAAACTTCTCTTTTCTTGGATAAGCATCCGGGCATCAGAGTAAGTCCTCTTTGATCCATCCGCCTGTACTTGCCGGATGGGCTTCCTTTGCCCTGTCTCAGGGAAACGAAGCTTTGAGACGTCGATCGTGGACCCATCCGCCACCTTTGGTTTCGGGTGAGGGGTAGGCATACGATCTTTCAGTGCTTGTTTCCCGGAGGATGGGAGCTTCTTAGCCGGCTGACCCTTATGAGGGCCAGTGGATTTGTTTAGGAGGCTCTTGATATCGCCCTTGAAACTTGTCATGAATTTCATGAGTTCGTCTCTCGTGACGGGAGCAGCACCTTCTGCCGCCTGGGTTGTCCCAGTCGGCCTACCGGTTAAGCTGCCTGGAGCAGCCTGACTTCCACCCCGCTCCTTTATTTCTTTGGAGCGGATGTGTTTTGTTCTGAAGGACCCGTTTGGGGCCACATAGGTGTCGATTTCATAATCGTCACCACTGTCTTGGTCCATATGGACTTCAGGCTCGACCGTAGGCCGTTTGCCTTCATTTGTTGGTACAGTTTCAGAAGCCATCTAGGAAGTACTCTCCCCACAGACGGTGTCAGATGTTTCGGGGGTTTTTGGTGTGTCCTACGGGAGAGTTACAATCCCTAGTATGTGCAACCGACGCCTGTACTTGCAAAACCACGAAGACTCTTGTTGGTGGGAGCTCCGCCTCCGACGATCAAGTCAGTAACGTAAAGGAGGTAATAAGTGCGGAACAAGTAAGTACTCCTCGCTAATACAAGAGGATTCCGCAATTAATATTGCTCGGGATTGGTGTTTGTATTTATGGATGTTTTTTTGAATACCCAATAAATGAGGTCTGACCCACTATTTATAGTGGGGAGACCAGTACCCCATCTAGGGTTCAAGGGACACGTGTCAACAGGGGATTGGCGCCTTGTTGACCCATGGCGGGCTGCCACGTGTCGCAAGGCCACTGGGCCGCGTGTCTAGGGTAATTTTTACCCTAAACAACTCTGATACCATCTTAATAAATCAACTCACTCAAAATTTGAATTGATGGTTGAAGTTCAAAATTAATTTATATAATCTATCATTTTTTTTTTGAGACAATTATACATACTCTATCATTAGCTAGACTAGATCACATCAAAGCTAATAATAATTAGAAATTTAAAAAGTACTTAATAATTAAGAAGAATTAACAAATAATTACAAATACAATTGAGTTAAATAACAAAATTTTATCGAAACTAATTACACAAATTCTCCTTAGAATATAATCGACCTCAAATAAATTTCTAAAATAAACAACTTATATGCTGTAAATCAAGATAACATGACCTATATTGGGATCGAGGGTGTAACCAAAAAAAGTGGTGAATATAATATAATTTGCATAAAATCTCTGGAGTAGGACAGATAAAACTAATTAATGACATAAATCTACTCCCCCATTACTTGATATCTTTATTTAATCATATTGGAGGACTTATTCTACTATCTTTCTCCTACCTCCACCATTCAACTTCTTCCAATTTTCTTTATCTTATTATTATTTTTAAACAATAAAATATTAAATAACCAACTTTCATTGTCAATTTATAAACCCCCCTTTCCCTTATTGAATTTGATCATCATACCCGTACTTTTCCTCCTCCTTTCCTTCTCTCTCTTGTTTCCGTCATCAATTTGTTAAAGGGCTCTGAAAACCTGGATTTTCTGTTCAATTCTTTTTATTTTTGCGTAAATTTTACGTGTTCTTGGTCCTCCTGTCATCCTTCTAACTATATTCGGTCGACATAATTTCCTAATTCATTTTTCATCACATTTAAAAACAATATTTAATTGCGGAGAATATTGGATATCATGTAAATATTGATGACTTTTCTTTATGAACTCGCAGAAATTGATCAATACATTACGAAACAGAAGGTGGTTTACTTTGAGTTAGCTTAAAGATTTTCAATTCCCTAAATTTTACTTCTTCTGCTTTGGTCTCCCCGAATTTTCGTGGAAATAATAAGCAAGTTATCGTTGTTTTAATACTATTTAATTTTTTGGGTCTTAATTACTCCGTAATATTAAAATAACGGAGTATTATTTATTTTTGTGGAGTAAAAAAAAGAAAAAAAAATTATAAATCCTCCGGAAAATAATGCTACGGAGTACTCCGTTATATGGAGTAGTATTTCCGCTGTCTAAACCGTCAAATACTAATTCTAACCCCGTTTACATCTTCCTTCCTCTCTCTCTATCCTAAGGAAAGAAGTATCCTCCGACAATCTCTCTTCCCTTTTTTTTTCTTCTCTGTTTTCTTTTTTCCATTTTTACCTTCTTTTTTTTTTCTTTTTTTTTCCCTAAGAGTTTAGGGAGACAGGCTCCCTTTCTCCCTACCCTAGATTAATTTTCTCCCTTTAAATCAATATTAATCAGTCAATCATGGTTGTTGTAGAATCAGGATCAATGCATTCCAACCTCGATTGCTTCCTCCATTGCACTACCCCTGTCGCTCCTTCCCAATTCCTCCCTAAGGTTCGTGATTATCGAATTCTGCAAAGATCGCATCTTTTATAATTGGATTCAAATCAATTTTAATCAAAAATAATATAATTATAATCTGTGTGCATGTTGTTTGCAGTCAGAGATGAGGAACTTGAATAGATTATGGCATCCATGGGAAAGAGAAAATGTGGAATATTTCAGGTTAAGTGATCTTTGGAACTGTTATGATGAATGGAGTGCTTATGGTGCGGGTGTTCCCATTGTTCTTGATTCGGGTGAAACTCTTGTACAATACTATGTTCCTTATCTCTCCGCAATACAAATCTTTACCAGCACTCCTTCTCCTCCTATTTTCAGGTAGATTTATTTGTCAACTGATTCATTGTCATCATATTTAACATTAAATTGCTTGAAATATACATTCTCCGATTAATAATAATAATGTTGGTTATGATATATTCAATGGGTTGTTGTTGTTGATGTTATAGGGAGGATACGGACTCAGCCGATGGCGAAACGAGAGATTCGTATAGCGAGTCGTGTAGTGATGAAAGTGAATTGTCGAGATGGGATGGATGTTCATCCGAAGAAGGTGGATTTGAACAAGAAAACTTGTGGCAATTGAATGATAGGTTGGGTTACCTCTATTGTCAATACTTTGAGAGATCAACTCCGTATGGTAGAGTTCCTCTTATGGACAAGGTAACTCTTCTCGTCTTTTCAATCACTTGCCTCTCTTCATCAAATTCCACTTTTAACTAGAGCTAAATATTGTTATATACACCTTGGCACAAAATACAGTTAAAGTTATTTTTTAATTTTTTAATTGCTCGATTAATCATCAAATAAACAATATTAAAAATAACCTTCAACTTACACACGGTGTATATTGATAGTTTACACTTTTTAACATAAGATTATATTATCAATACTTAATTCTAATAAAATTTGACAAATTTGATTGTAAAATTGAAAAAGTTTTGATAGGTTTATACTCTGATATTATCTTACATTTTACTCGCGAATATTTTATGTGCGTAATTTGATGTTACCAACTCACCATTAGAGTTTTAACCAATCCAATATAATTTGCTACTTTGCTAGGCAGTGCCATTTATTCGTCATCTTGTACTATGATTATTGATGGCCTAAAGCAAAAAGTTGTTTGTTGAAAAATTGTATTATAGTAAAAAAAAAAAAAAAAAAAAAAGTCAAATTTTATGAGAATTTATAATATCCATTGTTTTTTATTCTTATCTTGTACAGTTTTTCTCGTCACGTCTTAATGAGTGATAATTTCAAAGAAGGGAGAGGAGGTGGGCCCCGAGTCATTTAAGTAGGAAATATCTATTAATGACTGGTAATTTTTATAGGAAAATTAAAAATTAATAATCCCATATTTTAGTAGTCTTTTCTAACAGTCCCACTTTAATTAATCTCTAATTAATCTCACCTTTTAACTTCATCCTCAAAATAGTCATTGATTAGTTGTTATCCGGGTTAACAAGTTGATTTAACACGTGTCATGTTTCTATTGATTTAGAGTTTTTTTTTTATTTTAACTCTAATTAGTAGAAAAGCTTTCTCTCTCATACCTTCCCATCCTTTTACCCCTCCCCCCTCAAAACCACCAGCCTTAGTGTTTGCGCCCCCTCTGCTGTCCTTTCTCTCTCCTCTCCTTCAGCATCGTCGTCGTAGTTAACAAACACCCCTGCACCACAAGCCATTCTGCGTCGGTGGGACGGGTTTTTGAGTGGATTGGGTGGAATTTTAGTGAGGTAGATTTTGGTGGTGGAGGAAGGGTTGGAGTTTGGGTGTTGGAGTGGGTTTTTGGGTTGGTTAAGGTCTGGTTTCAGGGTGGTGGGTAGTGTGGTTTTCAAGGGGCAGATATAATCGGGTTTGGGATTTTCAATTTGGGTCAAAAACATGTGAGATTCCAAAGTGGGTTTTGATGGCTGGCAAGTGGCAAAGAAGGAGGTGGCTTTGCTGATGGTAGTTGGTGAGGATAAAACCCTTGGAGTCTTGGTGTTGTTGGTTGTGTTACGGTGATAGAAGACTAGAAGGGCCTTATTGAAAAAAAAAAACAAAGAATGATTTAAACCTGTTTAATAAGTAATAGGTAAAAAAAAAGACTATTTTAAGAAGATAAGGTGTAAAGGTGGGATTATTTTGAGATTAATTGAAGGTGGAATTATTTTGAGAAGACCACTAAAAGGTGAGATTATTAGTTTTTATTTTTTCATTTTTTATAGGGACAGATTGGGTTGAACTTGTTAAAAAATTTAATTTATTTATTAATTATTGTGATCAATATAACAAAGAGTGTCACATTGAGTTTTAGCTATTCTTCTTTGTTGTTAGTGTGTATCTTTGTGTCAAAAAAGTTTGTATCTTAACAATTAGCTATTAGTCTATTACTGAATATTAAGAATATTGAGTGGTAGGATCTAAAGTAATTTTGGTGAGAGTAAAATTTTGATTCTCCATAAACATTATGGTATGAATATGAAGATACTTTTTAGGAACTTATAAACAGAAAAATGTGGTAAACTTTAAGTGGCTTAGGAGTATTCGATGGATTATAATTGTGAATGGTTAGCTAATATTCTTACCCTTTTATTTTGCCAAATTTATGTCTTCCCAATGTTCTCATTGCAAGCAACTTTTTATTTACAACCAATGAAAATTTATTGAGAGATTAAAAAAGTTACTCCAGTTTATTATCTCAAGTTTTAAGAACATTACATTCACAAGTGATTCTATTTTCTATTACCGTCTAGATTCAATATACTAGGGAACATATTGAATTATTGTGAAATATAAAATATACTCGTATTAGGATCATATTAATATCATTTTCTTATAAGAAATATAAGGCAATTAGTTATAGGTATTTAAACAAAATGGTTTATTTACTCTTAGAAAGTAGTAATTTAATGGATCAGATTTGATCAAGGCAAAATCAAGAGTATTATAGTGTGCAATGTCTATTGTACGAGATTGGTAGGATAAATATTTGCATAAGTCTCACCACTTAATGTACTACGTCGATATTTTCTAATACTTTTGTCAATTATAATATGTATTTCATACCTTTGTTTTTTTATCACGTTTATTAATGCATAAATTCAATTTTTTTTTTTGAATTACCGATAAGAAAAAATTATAAAAATTGATATTTTGTAAATATATATCGTGACGAATCTAATAATCTAATAAAATCCTACTTAACTATATTTTTCATTACGTATGAATCACAAAATAAGGTCAAAGAGAAGTGTGTGAATAGTGCTAAAATCAGAATGTGTCAACTAAAAAAACGGAGGTAGTATTTTCATATTATTAAATTATTTGGTATATGAAAGTCTAGTGTATAGAATATAAATAGCCGAAAAAGGCAAATAAGAATAAAAATGAAAACAAAAATAAGAAATATGACATAATTTTAATGGTCTTGAAAGAAATAAGGGATGGAAAAGTGGAAGAAAATTTTTGTAGTCTATTTTTTTTATAAAATGGAAAATAAACATTTATGTTAACTAGATTATTTAAATCAGATACTGATGATATGTCTTAGGAAAATGATAATTTAATAAATTTATCAAATAAGATATTTAAAAATCGAAAAGTATAATGTTTAAATGATACTGAGTACAGAGTATAGAATATGGTTATGACGTTTTAACTTTCAAAGATTTTTAGCGTCATACACTTTTCACGATAAAATGATGTGTTATTTCTAACTTCTTTTTAGTTATATTTGTACATATCAATAGATAAATTCTGGATAAAGATTTAGATTTAGAAAAATTCTGATGTATACACCTGTTACTTATAGATCCCAAGTCTCTCTCTCTCTCTCTCTCTCTTTTTTTTTTTTTTTCCCAAAGTTTTTAAGACTTTGTAACTTGGTGGGTGATTATGGTATAGCATTATATCAAGCGTGCGTGTCATATTGCAATTATAATAACCACTTATTGGCTCAGTGTTACTAGTGACCATATTTGACAATCTTGTATAATGCTATCATCTTCAAGTCCATTTACATTTTCTTTTTTTATATATACTTTTGCCGGAAAAAGTAAAAGAATTTTGTTACATCTCTTGAGCATAAAAGGTTAAATTTTTGTATTTTGATTGTGACACATGAATGTGCAAACAAAGTTTGTTGAATGTTTCACAATTTTTGGCTCTAGTGAACAAAGAATATTCATTCTTGTATGCTAACAATTTTGTCTATTTTTGGTTGTTCAGATTAGTGAATTAGCTCGGAGATACCCTGGATTAATGTCATTAAAGAGTGTGGATCTCTCTCCCGCTAGTTGGATGGCTGTTGCCTGGTAAATACATTTTTCTAAGTTGACGTATTTTTTTAAAGCACATAATTTACCCAAATTTTACCTGTGTTTCCATTTGATCATAACATTTACACAAAATTTTTTAAAAATTGGCGAGTGAGTGGGTGTATGAATAAGGTGGTTTAAATTATTAGAGATAATATATTACAATATAAACATTGAATGGATAAGATGACATAGTTTTTTGTACAAAGAGTATTTTTGGTAGACTAAGTAGAAAGTAAGGATACTTTTAGTCTTAAAAAATTAATACGGAGTAATAAATTACACAAGATTTAAACATAGAAGTAGTGGGCACCAAAAAAAAAACATTTTAGTAGTGGAGTACCTAACACTTATGACATTTAAAATGGAATATAAGGATTATATAATGGGACAAATAGAGAGTATTATGGCTCATTTTGACGACTTATAAATTTATAAAATTAATTTCAAAATATTAAAATAGAGATAACCTTTGAGGACATACATCCTAAAAAACATACAATCATTATATTATGAGACGAATGTAGTATTATGACTCAAATTTTTTTGACTTAAATACTCGTACAAAATTAGTTTGCGAGTATTACATCATAGTATTATACAGGAAGTAATTTTCAGAGTGAATATCACATTTCAACAAATCAATTAGTGCAGTGATGCTAACCAATGTCATTATGTCAACATTGGTGCAGGTATCCAATATATCACATTCCAATGGGGAAAACCATAAAGGACTTGTCTACATGCTTCTTGACTTACCACACCCTTTCATCCTCGTTTCAAGGTATGCTGTCAAATCACTTGACTTGATTTATTGTCAAATTTTATTTGATTTTTGTTACTGATTGCCATGTTTGAAAATGCACCCTCTAAAATTGGTTTGTCTCAATGAGGTGTTAATCCGTGTTCTCAGTCGAGTTTGGATTGGGTCTAGGTTGATCTGGTTATTTTGGATTTAACTCATGCTGAACTATTGTGCTCATTTAGATCAAGTACTGTATTGAGTAATATCGTGTTGAGTCCAACTGTTTCAAGTCGGGGCAGTTTTTGTCTTTTTGATACTCTAGTCTCAATCGCTCTGAATTGAACATGTGACATATTACAATAAATATCTATTAGACTCTAACCAAGTACTCGTATATTTCTTGCCATCATTTCAGTTGGGATAAAGAAGAAATGATGACAAATTTTTGTATACATTGTATAATTTGGACTATTAATTTGTATGGTTTTGTGATATTAACATTAATGTCAAGCAGTCTAAATATTTTCTAAATTCCAACGTGTTTCTTACCGAAATGTTGCTGTCATGAAACTAGATATGGACCACGACGACGACATGGTGGCCCCAGAATGGATAAGGAAGAGAAAGGAAGGAGAAGGCATCCCTCTCCCAGCTTTTGGTCTTGCCACTTACAAGATGCAAGGAAGCGTGTGGGTTTCGGGGAGGGGCGGCCGGGACCAGGATCGAGTTGTGTCACTTTTGAGTGTTGCTGATTCTTGGCTTAAACAACTTAGAGTTCAACACCATGACTTTAACTATTTCACCGGGATTAGGCGTGGCTGAAACGTGTTTCAATCCTTGATTGATCTCTTAACACAAATCCTCTGCTTTAACCCACTGTAAAGGAAACTGACCCAAGAGTTCTCCCATTTTTCTTGTGGTTTATCTCTTCTTGTTTTTGGTTTTCCGTTAAAAAAATGTATCTAATTTCGTCTGTCTGTCGAGAACACCTAAATTAGCAAAAATATAAAAGGTCGAAAACCCCCTGAGTGTCCCTGTAATGCACAGCACAGCCAAGCATCCATATAAGTACTAGACCTTTCGATCCGGTTTCTTGTTCATTTTAACTTAGTAGAATTTGGCATAGGTGAATCCGAAAACTTTGCTTAAGCAACGGCTGATAAGTGATGAGTTTAGAGCCTGACTACGAGTCGTGGCAATGGTGGATATGGTAGTAGGGACCTTAAGGAGCTGATAAGAGTAGTAGTTGGTTGATTTCGTGGCGTCGATAGTGGAGGCTTATCTAGAGCTTTAGCCCCCCTCTCCAATCTTTGAGGTACTCAATATGGATTACTTTATCCTGAGCAAAAGAAGTTGGTTATCTTGCTTTTTCAAGTCATGGGTGGATTGGTCCATGGAATAATGTGGATAAAATGTAGAGAAAAAGGCAGAGCATGTACTACTTTGTTCAAATTGTTAGTTTTTCAAGGGGTTGTGGTGTATATTCTTCTCTATTTCAATGTAATGAATCAATGAAAGATGCTTGGAAAAACGCTTTGTAAAAAGCTCTTATTGCATCACATAGTCACATCTATCTCTATGTATGTGTGTGTGTTATTGTTCTTTATATAAAACATCTCAATGATTCTCACAATAAGTGTTGGTGTTTATGGGAATAAACCATGACACCAATTTTAGAACAAAGAAACCAAGGATCTTTAAAAGAAAAAGAAAAACTTTTATTTTAAGCAGTTTAAAGTTACTTATAATAAAAGGAGTTTTTGATCAAGTTTAGTGTGAAAATTTTATAATGGTCATTTGAAATATGACTATCATAATGTTAATGATTGGGGTAAATTAGAAAATAACACCACAAAAAAGCCACGATTTTGATTATAACACCACACAGAAAAAAATTATATTATAATTCCACCAAAAAACACAAAATTTTGATTTCACCACCACTTAACTTTTCCATCCAAAAAACCGTTAGTAGGTCCTACATTGTACACTTCTCAATTATGTATTGGATTAAATTTTTTTTTTTTTTAAAAAGGAAAACCTTAAAATTACCCAGCCACCATTGGCGTCGCCGGTTCCTACCGCCGTTCTCCAACCCATCCCCCACCGCCATCACCCAATCCCAACCGACCACCCTCGACCCACAAAACCAGCTAGCCGACCACCCTCGACCGTCGAAATCAGCCTAACCGTATCCACGAAATAACCAGCCCCGATTTAGTTTCAGGTGAGGGTGAGAGGAGTAGGGCGGTTTGTGGGTTTGGGTATGGGTGTGCCAGTGTGGATCGGGGTTTCAGCGACGACTTTGGGTAGGGTAAAGGAGTTCGGAGACAGTGGCTTGGCTAGTTAGGGTTGGGGTTTGGGTGGTTCGGCGATGGATTCGGGTCGGGGAGAAGACGATGTGGGCTGGGCTGGTTTGGGTTGGGGTCTGGTTGTTCGACGATGGTTTCAGGGGGGGGGGAGACAACGATGGGGGTTGGGTTGGGGTGACGGTCGTGGTAGGGTAGGGTTAACGGCCGTGGGAACCGGCGCCTGTGGTGGTTGGGTTAGGATTATAGGGTATTTCTTCTGTTTTTTTTTAATTTTTCTTTTTTTCAATCCAATAGTTGATTGACACGTGTACTGTGTGGGGCCCACTTAACGGTTTTTTTTGGATGACAAAGTTAAGTGGTGGTGAAACCAATTTTTTGGTTTTTTTTTTTTTTTTGGTGTTATAATCAAAATCGTGACAATTTTGGGGTGTTATTTTCTAATTTATCTTAATGATTATGTAGTTCATAATTGACATATTTTTCTCCAAGATCTAAATTATACTTCGTATTACTCTATTTTGGAATAAAAAGTTTTATCAGCATTTGTTTTATTTATCAAATTTTAGTTTCATTTATGTAATTTTTATTATTATTATTATATAGTTTCTCGAAAAATATTATAGTGAGTCGATGCTTGTATGGTTTGACAATTTCCCCCAAAGCTTCCTAACTTTGGTGGAACTCGATTTGATTTAATAATATTGCTTGCCTAACGTTACTTTAAAAAAAAAAAATCTAAAAATTATATTTGTATTGTAGATGTTAGAAGACTAATTGTATCCATAATATAATGTGAAAGTATGAACATATCATATTATTTATCATTAAAATAAAATGATACTACCGTAGAAACATCCGGTGGAGATTTTGGCTTGGAATAATCCACTTAGTTCACTCTCATAGCATTGACACATGAAAAATTTTTGGGGAAAAAAAAAAGAACTCATGAATTCATGAGAAAAATTTCATTATCAACTTAGGAAAAGTATTTATCGACTTATCTTCACATGGTGAGGACTTCTTTGCATAGGAACATGTATTACAAATAGCTAGTTAGCAAAAGGAGCAAGTCCCGATTAATCTTTTTGTAATAGCATTGTTGTAGATGGAGTGAACATAACGATGTTTTGGCGTTAATCCACCGACACCACCATTGAAGCTTCCTTCTTCTTCGTTCCCCGATCTCCACCCTTCCACCAACACCACCATATTCATCATCTTCCTCGTGTCCACCTTCCATCGACACTATCTTCCTTATCTCCACCTTCTACCGACAACACCATCTCCGGCAGTTTCGCCGCCAAATTAAATGAAAAACCTATGAATAAAGGGTAAAAATTAAGGGCATGGTCACCCCAATGGGTAGGGATGACCCATCCTCCATTGAAGCGTGTTTTGAGCTTGATTTTCGAAGATGGAGTTGAAATGGTGGAGATTGAAGAATGATCAATTAGGAGGGGGAAGTTTTAATGGAAGGAAGAAGGAGGAGGTAGCTTCAATGGAGGATGGAGGAAGGAGGAAGCTAAGAAGTAACGGCGCCGTTAATCAAGTTACAATTCATTCGGGTAAATTTACAACAATTCCCCTAAATAATTCATGATAATGTCGATTTTATCCTCTTCATTAACGATTTGCGTAAAAAAAAAAATTAACTTGTATTTTCCCCAACAAAAAGTCATTGATTTATTAGTCTGAAGATGGGTAATTCCTTGTATGAAATAAAATTGCCAAAATATTGTTTGTTAGATAATATTTGAGAAGTCCCATCCTCTAGTAACTAGAGGCATTAAAAACTAACAAAACTTAGTTGGTACTAAAAATTGTTCTTAGTTGGTACACATGTTATACCAAAAAAATTTAAATTGGTACCAAACAAAGCCTTGCTACCAAAAAGAAGTATTTTGGTCTTTTCACAATCCTAATAACTCGATTACCAACTAAGAACACTTAGGCACCATTTGCAATTACTTGAGTCTTTGGATATTGTATTTACTTGAGGCTGAGATCCTCTTTATCGAGGTTGTAAGCTTGCAACTATACTCATTCACCATATAATTTATAGTAGGTTTCTTAAACTTGCAAAACATCATTGAAGGCAAGAGCATGATATAGAACATTAAGATCATTACACAAACCATAAATTCCAAACAAGAAATGGCGAATTCATTGATCTTGATCTATAAATGAATTATTGCCCCATCTAGAGTATTGAGTTTTCCATGTATAAAGGCAGCTCTTAACTTTTAACTAATGTGTGGTCCGGGCAATGCATTGCGTTTTACTTTGAATATCAATAAATATTATGTGAGTTATAAAATCATAAACTATATAATTACAAAAAATAAGTGAATAATAATAATAATTAATGAAACTAAATAAACGCTCTCAAATTAATGTTTTGTACAAATTAAAGTATTTAGTGTACTATAATTGAATATGAAGCATAATTAAAAGATACCTGAGTTGGTAATTTAAGAATATTAATTCATTTGTTATTGGTCTTGTGTTCAAACCTTGTGATAAACATTTTTATTACTATTGAAACATGTTTACAGTAAAATGAATGATGTGCTTATTACAATAATATGACATACTTCTAATACATGTGAAAGGTGCCACGTGGCAATCAATACAATCAATCAAGCCAAAAAGTTGAAGCATTACATTATTATAAAGACTCCTTAAGTCCTCATTAATTAGACTTTTGTAGATAATTATTTCCTAATTAAATATTTAATTTGATCATCTGAGTGACATGCTTTAGTGATTTATGCATTTATGTCACACTCGTAGGTAATTCTCAATTGTATCCGGAGTCGTTAACATTTTCATAGATGCATTGCTTTGCTTATTTGCAATCCTAATTGTTTCGGGGCTTTTTAGTGTCATGCGGGAGAGTTATAATTCCAAGACTGGACTCTGGGCGCCTGTACCTGAAAAACAACGGAGACTCCGGTTAGGTGGAGTTTCGCCTCCGACGATCAAGTTAGAACGTGTTTGGATGTAAAACGTGCGGAAAGTAAATGGGATCAGGTTCCTCTTTGGAGAGAAATGATCATCCGACCATCTCAGACAGCCTGCATATCCAAGTGTAAACTCTCGAGGGTAATTAATGTTGCAGTTAATGCTCTGGTTGTATTCAATGTGTTTTCTTTAAGGAAACATCTCCCTTATATAGGGTCTCAAAATGCGTGTCCATCATAGGTTTAGAAACCTTGGATTGACGGGCCTCGAGATTTGGGCCTTGAAGGCCGCCAAATATCTGTCTGCCACGTGTCGTGCCCTGGTAGGTCCACTTTGGGTTCTCCTTAGGATGACACGTTGCAGACTCTAATTGGTCCACGTGGCGGACCCTGATTGGTCCACGTGGCGGGGTAAAAATCCCCTAATCATTTTCCCCTCACAGGGGTGACGTGGATTGCCACGTGACGCCTATGACATGTGTCACATGCGTATAGGCGAACGGTTTTTTACCGCCGTTTCTTCTTCCGGAACATTTCTCACGGGTGCCCCCTGAAATTCTTACCCCCCTATATAAGGGTCATGCCCCAATCATTTTTTCGCACATTCTCAAGATTTTCGAACATAGAATCTTTGACTTTTAGAAAAGAACTTGTCTTTTTCTGAGAAAAGCACCTGTCGCCTGCTACCTGACTGCCTAATTCTACTGCCACCCAAGACTTTTTCCGAGCGTCAACAACACCTTCAAACCAAAGGTAATTGCCTGCTTTTCTCTCATATTTTACTTTGTTTCTTTTCTTTTTGAAAATGGTTTCCCAAAAGCACAAGGCACGACCTAGGTTAGTGATCAGCCGGTCACCGGGGACGGCTGAATCTAGAACTAGAAGTGCCGACTGCCCCTTGATGGACCACCCTTTGCGAACTTCTCCAAGTCCGACTGTCTCTGTGTTTGTGTAAGACACCATGGCAAGAATTAAACAAACAGCCAGGCAGCAGAACCCGAACGACTCATTTAGGGCGCCTTTAGCGAAATCTCCGACGTGCCGCCTGGCACCCCAAGTACCCCCAATGATTCAATCTTGCTAGAATCAGGGGAGGAGTTGGAGAGTGATGCCTCCGGCTCTATTCAACAGGATCCTCAGGCGGACGATAGATCCAACGGCTCTGACAGATAGTCCGAGCCTATTACTTCTGGTAGATCCTACAACGACTCTAAGGAAATGCTCTCTCGGCTGGAGACAACGAGAGAGTCCCTTTCTGTGGAAAAGGGCGAGGGTTGGGCTGAGCCGTCTGTTAGTCGCCGTGAGCAA